CTAAGGTACCATTGTTTGCTGACGACACTACCATTTATTCTTGTCATGATAAGAAGCCTACACTCTCTGATTGGAGGGGGTATATGAGCTTGAAAAAGATCTCACCTCTGCTACAGCATGGGGCTCACAATGGCTGGTAAACTTTATTTCAGATAAAACTCAATTTTTTTGGCCAATTGTTTTTACAATAGTTTAGATCTTCCTATATTTCTGAATGATAATGTACTAGATGAGTCTTCATCTTCTTCATCTTCTAGGATTAACTTTTACTTCTGATCTTTTTTTTGAACCGTATACCAAATCCATTGCAAAATTAGCGTCTGTTAAGGCTGCATCTCTTTATGGAGCTCGACACCTCCTTACTCCAGATTCTCTTCTCTATCTCTATAAATCTCAAATCTGTCCCTGTATGGAATACTGTTGCCATATTTGGGGCGGATCTTCTAATGATACCCTTTCTTTTTTAGATAAGGTGCAAAAACACATTGTAAACATAGTTGGATCTGCTCTTGCAGCCAATCTCCAACCACTGTCACATTGTCATGATGTTGCTTCTCTTTCTCTTTTCTACAAATAATATAATGGGCACTGCTCTAAAGAGCTAGCATCCCTTGTTCCATCTACTAAAATTCATTCTCGTGTCACTTGCCATTCAATCAAGTCTCATCCTTTTTCTGTGACTGTTTCTAAGTGCTCTGAAAATTCTTATTCCTCTAGTTTTTTTCTTTGAACATCAGTTCTTTGAAATTCACTTCCTTCATCTTGCTTTCCTGATTCATATAATTGGCAATCTTTTAAGTCATCTGTCAATAATTTTCTAGCTCTACGAATTCTATCTTTTTTCTTCCAGTAACTTCCATACTCTTATAAAGGTTGCTGGCAGCCTTGTTGGAAGCGAAGATGTAATATATATATATATATATATATATATATATATATATATATATATATATATATATATATATATATATATATATATATATATATATATATATATATATATATATATATATATATATATAAATATATAAAAATTATAATAGCATATTGTTTTTTAATTAACTAATATATAGTCCTACATTCATTTATTTACTTATCTTAAGAATAATGAAATATAAAAAAGGTTTAAAGTTGAGAATAGTTTTGATCTTTACTAGTGTGATTCTATCGCCAAGTTTCTTGAATGTGATCAATCATTTCTCGATACAAATGTTGCAAAAAGATGTTTTTTATTATGGTTGAATGTTTAGTTTTCTTTTTAAGAATAAATTACTATCATAAATTGCATAAAAAATTTTGATCTGTAATTATATACATAATGCTCACTTTACAAATAAACATAATTTACACAAAATTTTTGAATTGATTAAAACACTAATGTATTGCTTCTATGCCCAATATAACTTACACTAAATTGTCTCATTCAATAACACTGGTGTTTCCTTTTGAATTTAGAAATAGAAGTTATTAAATGTTGGTGGCTCATCATGCAGTGCATATGAGAATGGCATGCTTTCAAAGTAAGTATAATTTTACTATAAATAAAGCATTTTTAATACCGCAATTATATTGCATACTTGATATACATAAATATATACGCTGGTCACAACAATCCAGTCAAAAATTTCTTTAAAAAAATCAATTTAGAGTTGAGAAATTCGTATTTTTTGATGTTTGATGTTAAGTTTGTAAAATAATAATTATATATATATGTGTGTGTGTGCGTGCGTGTGTGTGTGTTATTTCTTTCTAACCCCTTTATTTTTACATACTTATCTTGACAATATTTTTTTAGGGTTAAGACTGCTCCCCTGATTCCTACAGCAAAAAAACAACTTTAAAATGCTGGTGGTAATATTTTAAAGAGTGCACCTGATCGAAAAGAAGGTGAATGACGTCAACTGTTCGAACATTCGATTCTTGGAAATTAACAAGTGGAAGAAGAAGTTTATAAAATTGTAATTTATAAAACTCAGCACAATTATATTATTAAAAAAATTAAAACGATTTATTATTTTTTGCTTATTCTCAAGAAGTTCTGTGCAAAAATAAATTTGAACCTTACGTTTAAGTAAAGCCATGTAAAAACACGTATTTTAAACGTCGAAATGAGAACGTTTAAATTGGTTTATTTAAAGACGTCATTTGGCGTTTCCATTTAGCACTAGTTCTGAACGTCCTAAATTCACGTATTTTAGACGTCTAAAAACACGTCTTTATTCCGTCCTAAAAAGACGTCCTATTTACGTCTTAAAAAGAGGTCATCTGGCGTTGCCATTTAGAACCAGTTCCGGACGTCCTAAAAAGACGTCCTTTCGACGTCATATGGACGTTTCCGTGCCCGCTGGGTAAAAATCTTTAAAAGAGTTCGTCAACTAGAGCAAAACGTTATCCGAACAGAACTTGCTAAAATTTACTTATTATTTGCCGGTGGCAGTGGACATAATGAATTGCTATTTTAGAAAGCTTGATATCTCATAAGAACTATTAGGGTAGGGTGGGGCAAGAGGCCCAGGTGGGGTAAAAGGCCCATCCTGCAGTTATAAAGAACCTAGGTAAAATATTATAATTATTGTTTTGTAGTATGAATGATAAATGTGTAACAGTATTGCGAGCGAATTTTGGTGAACTTTTAGTAGAAATATAATTTTTAACAGAATATTGAAGACTTGACAGGTAATAAGAATAGGACATTTTGATTTTTTGCGTAATTTTAAAAATTTTTTGTAGATTATTGTTAAACTTAGTTGATTATTTAAATGAGTTTATGTATTTGTAAGCGTATAAATTATGTATTGATTATTTACATAACGTTCATTGTACCATAGAATAATATGTTTTTATCAATTTTTGCACCGACCATTTTGGGGCAAAAAGCCCAGTTTGTTAATGGGGCAAAAGGCCCATCCTGAGCTTTTTACCCCTTGCATTATTTAAGTAAAATGTTTAAACTTTAACTTTATTTTATTTATAGATATGGTTAGAAATTAGAAAAGAAAGACAAAAAGAGGAAGTTATGGAGCAGAAGGTTTACAACGGGCTTTAGATTCAGTAAAAAATGGTATATCTTTGCGTAAAGCTGAAAACAGTTTTGGAGTTTCAAGGAAGACATTGAGAAGGCATTTGCAGGGCAAAGTAAGACAAGTTGGGAGCAATAAATTAGGAAATCATGTGAATACTTTTTCTATTGAAATTGAACAAGATCTTGTTAAACACATCCAAATGATGGAAAGAGCATTATTAGCTAGAAACGAAACAAGTGAACCTGCGATTACAAATGAAGAAGCCGGCAATGCGGTGGATGATGAAGCATCGGTTAATGTGATGGAGACTGATAGGATTGCAACAGGAGATAGCAATGAGTCCGATGAAAATCAACTAGATAAAACAGCTGATCATCCTGGTTTATCCGAAGCATTGCAGATTATATCAGAACTAAGCCCTATTCCAAGGATAAAGAATGTACGCAGTCGCAAACGAAAAACCGAAGCAGCAACTGTAATAACTTCTAGTCCTTATAAAGCAATGTTAATTGAAGCAAATGCAAAGAAGACAAAATAGAACAAGCAAGTTGTAGTTGAAAATAATAATGAGGAAAATGATGAAGACGAAATTGATGTAATCGCAGACAAATCCAAGAGAACGAAAAGTGGAGATGACAAAGAAACCGGGAAAAGGAAGCAATATGCGAGAACAAAACCAAAAAAGACAATCAAAAGTAACGCATCGAATGCTAACGTGATAAGAAAAGGGTCAAAAGAACGAAGATGTGTAGGTTCTGTTACTAACAGTGATGATACGCCATGTTGCATGTGTGGTAAAAGATTTAACGAACCACCCATTGATGACTGGCAGCTATGCCCAGAATGTCTCAACTGGTACCACGACGGCTGTGGTCCTGATGACACTGCTGTCTGCTTTCACTGCCAATAGGCATAATCAATTCAACTAGTCTTACTGTAGTTTTTTAGCTGTCTTTTTAGCTGTATGAATTAGTTTTTTAGCTGTCTTTTTGGGTTATGAATTATTTTTTTAGATATCTTTTTAGCTCTATGAATTAGTTTTTTTTAGCAACTTTTAAGCTCTATGAATTAGCTTTTAGCTGTGTTTTTCAGCTCTATAAATGAGTTTTTATAGCTATCTTTTTAGTCTATAAATTTTTAGCTCTTTTTAGCTCTATTAATTTTACGGTGCTGTTTGCCATTGTCATATGATAGCATATATGGTGCTACTTGCTAATATTATGGTGCTAAGTGTTCTACTAAAACTTTTGTTGGACATTTTTACACACAAATATGTTGTGACTAGTAAGAAGTGCATTGTTGCAATAATTTTTTATTGTAAAAAAGGAATATTTCAAGCTATTAACGTTTGGGGTAAAATGCCCAGGGTAGGGGCGTTTTGCCCCAGCAATGGGGCAAAAGGCCCACTCTATAGCAGTTTATAAAAAGCATATTTCCATTAAAACTTGAGTAGCCATTAAGAAAATAACTTTAGATACTTAAGTTTATTATGTATCTGAAATAATGGTATAATAAATTTCTAGATACGTTTATTGGATCAGTAAAAAAAAGACGAAATTGCTTATGGTGGGCTTCTTGCCCAACTTACCCTTCCTATTTTTTGCTTACTCTCTTAAAGCTTCATCTAGTTCAAACCCAGCGGGCACGGCAACGTCCATATGACGTCGAAAGGACGTTTTTTTAGGACGTCCGGAACTGGTTCTAAATAGCAACGCCAGATGACGTCTTTTTAAGACGTAAATAGGACGTCTTTTTAGGACGGAATGAAGATGTGTTTTTTAGACGTCTAAAATACGTGAATTTAGAACGTTCAGAACTGGTGCTAAATGGAAACGCCAAATGACGTCTTTAAATAACCAAATTTAAACGTTCTCATTTCGACGTTTAAAATACGTGTTTTTACATGGCTTTACTTAAACGTAAGGTTCAAATTTATTTTTGCACAGAACTTCTTGAGAATAAGCAAAAAATAATAAATCGTTTTAATTTTTTTAATAATATAATTGTGCTGAGTTTTATAAATTACAATTTTGTAAACTTCTTTTTCCACTTATTAATTTCCAAGAATCGAATGTTCGAAAAGTTGACGTCATTCACCTTCTTTTTGATCAGATGCACTCTTTAAAATATTGCCACCAGCATTTTAATGATTTTTTGTTGTTGTAGGAATCAGGAAAGCAGTCTTAACCCTAAAAAAATATTGTAAAGATAAATATGTAAAAATCAAGGGGAAATAAACAACACACACACACGCACGCACACATAATATAATTATTATTTTATAAACATAACATCAAACATCAAAAAATACGAATTTCTCAACACTAAATTGATTTTTTTAAAGAAATTTTTGACTGGATTATTGTGACCAGCTTATATATTTAAGTATATCAAGTATGTAATATAATTGCGGTATTAAAAATGCTCTTTTTTTAGTAAAATTATACTTACTTTGAAAGCATGCCCTTCTCAAATGCACTGCATGATGAGCCACCAACATTTAATAACTTATATTTCTAAATTCAAAAGATAACACTAGTGTAATTGATATGGGACAATTTAGCGTAAATTATATTGGGCATAGAAGCAATAAATTAGTGTTTTAATCAACTCAAAAATTTTGTGTAAATTATGTTTATTTGTAAAGTGAGCATTATGTATATAATTACAGATCAAAATTTTTTATGTAATTTATAATAGTAATTTATCCTTAAAAACAGAACTAAACATTCAACCATAATAAAAAATATACTACTTTTTGCAACATTTGTATCGAGAAATGATTGATCACCTTCAAGAAACTTGGCAATAGAATCACACTAGTAAAGATCAAAACTATTGTCAACTTTAAACCTTTTTTATATTTCATTATTCTTAAGATAAGTAAGTAAATAAATGAAAGAATATATATTAGTTAATTAAAAAACAATATGCTATTATAACTTTATATATATATTTTAAGTATATATATATATATACTTTATTATATATATATATATACTTTAATATAGGGTAAAGTGAGGTTAACTGGGTACAGGTGTTAACTGGGCCACTGGCTGTTCATACTTCTGCAGTTTGAATACACCGCTTTTATTGATGTTTCCCAAAGATCCACTAGGCGGCACTACTTGCTGCTGATTTTGAATGCAAATGACATCCATTTTAAAATTTTATTAAGCATTTGTTGTTCTTGGATGTCACATGTATTGTTTTACTGCAGCGTTAGAAAGTTGATAGAATCTGTGTTTATCAAGTTTTGTGAGTTTTAATAACTGATTTCTGAACTTTAATATAGTGCCTATTTGAATAATTATCACAAATTACGCAAATATTTAAAATACTGGTAAGTTTTTGTAAAAATATGAATTTTGATATAGTGGGGTTAAGTGGGCCGGCTATTCATGTGGTTATATGGGACGGCCCACTTAACCCCACCAATGAAAAATTAATTTAATATAATCATTTAATTAACATTTATATCAACTAATTATGTTTTTTTTTAATTCCAGTTTATAAATAAATTAAATTAAAATGCCCCGTCAACGTCAACGTACCACAACGCACAGATCGTATTCCATTGATGCTTTAAAAACGGCAACTGAAAAAATTATAAAAGGAGAACTATCGATAAGAAAAGCAGCGGCCAGTCATCAGATACCAAAAAATACATTAGCCAGGTATGTGCTCAAAGTTAAAAATACACCTGATGGAGTTAAGGTTAATTTTCGACCATCAAATGAACATTTACTCGTTTTCAACTCAAGTGAAGAATTGCTATTGAAAAAATATATTCAAGATGCAGTCAACATGCATCATGGACTTTCATTTACCCAAGTTCGTCGCTTAGCTTTTGAGTTTGCCATAGCAAATAACAAAAACGTGAAATGTAATTGGACAGAAGAAAAAATGGCTGGAATAGAATGGCTGCATTCATTTATGAGACGACAGAGTTTGGCGCTAAGAACCCCCGAACAAACTAGTCTTAGCCGTTGCACTAGTTTCAATAAAACTAATGTTGGAGCATTTTTTTCAAATTTAGAAGGTGTTATTAACCGATTTAATCTACAAGCACAAGACATTTTTAACTTAGATGAGACTGGTCTCACAAGTGTACATAAACCAGTAAAAGTTTTGGCTTTAAAGGGGCAAAAGCAAGTTGGCCAGGCAACATCAGCTGAACGAGGTGTCTTGGTTACAGCATGTTGTATTGTTGGAGCTACAGGAACTGCAATACCTCCATATTTGCTGTTTCCCAGAGTGTTTTTTAAGGAACACATGATTAAAGGCGCACCTGTTGGAACAAAAGGTGCAGCAACAAAATCTGGATGGATGATTTCAGATATTTTTATTGATGTCCTCAAACATTTTGTCGATCACGTAAGACCTACAACAGACAGTCCAAAGTTGATAATATTAGACAACCACGAGAGCCACTTAAGTATTGCTGCGTTGAATTATGCAAAGACTAATGGCATAATGTTGCTGACCTTCCCTCCGCACTGCAGCCATAAGTTGCAGCCTCTGGATGTGAGCGTATTCGGTCCCTTAAAAAAACACTACAACAGAGCCTGCAATGATTGGATGACAAACCATCCTGCGACTCCAATCACAATTTATGACATAGGAGAATTACTGGGGACTGCTTTTCCGTTAGCATTTACGCCAAGGAATATTTCCCAAGGGTTCAAAGCAGCAGGAATCTGTCCATTTGATTCCCAAATATTTACAGAGGAATTTTTTAGCTGCAACAGTTACAGATAGACCAGATCCAACTGTTTCAGATACAACCATTGAATCGACAACATTACCCTCAACATCAGTATCAACCACCATAGAAATACCAACCTCACTAACTGACTGTCAATTTCTCCGGAGCAAATACGACCATTCCCTAAAGCCGGAATGCGTAAAAATAAAAGAAAACCAAGGCAGAAAGGAAAGTCTGCTGTTTTAACGGATACTCCAGTCAAACGGCAATTGGAAGAAGCTGCACAAATGCGTGCAAATAAATCTAAGCCTAAGTCCATTGCCCCAAGAAAAGAAAAGCGTAAAATATTAATAGAGTCCAGTGATGAAGGATCATCAGAAGTAGAGTATGCCGATTCTTCATTGGATATTTCAGAATTATCTTCTGGAGAAGATACGGATGATTTTAACCAGCCCATAACCGTCGATGATTTCGTGCTTGCTATGGTGCACGGAGCTAAGAAAAAGTCTAGCAGGCACTATATTGCCAAAATAATTTCGAAAACGCAAGATGGTTTCAGCGTTAAGTGGCTGAAAAATCAAAATAGGACAACAAAATTTTATATTACAGATGAGGAGCTGACCTTCGTTCCTGCATCCGATATTGTTCGAAATTTGCCAACTCCTCTATTTCACGGAGAAACGGGACGATTTGCCAATTTATATTCCTTTCAATTCGATTTTTCAGATTATTCCATTGTTATGTAAACATAGTGTTTTATTAATGTTTAACAGTTGAAATATTCATACAATTTTATCACATCGAAGGTGTATTTTTTCACTAATCTGTGTTTTTTTTATTGTATAATTTTATTGTTATCACGTTTATTTTGTTTATTAATTCTATCTTTCTTAACTAAATATATTATCAAAATAAAAACTAATATTATTGTAGTTTCACTAGTATGTACCCAGTCAACCCCATAGGGTGGCCCAGTTAAACCCGTCACTGTGGTTAACTGGGCCACAGGACACATGTCTAAAAAATGCAATATTTACAAGGCCACAGCATATATTAACTAATTCATTTGAATTTATTAGATAGAATATTAATATTCTCATAGTTATGAACAGAAAAAATATTGAAAAGCAGTAATTTGTTACAGTTACATCGCCCGAAAAAAAACTGTACCCAGTTAACCTCACTTTACCCTATATATATATATATATATATATATATATATATATATATATATATATATATATATATATATATATATATATATATATATATATATATATATATATATATATATATATATATATATATATATATATATATATATATATTACATCTTCGCTTCCAACAAGACTATAGCAACCACTATAAGAGTTTTGAAGTCACTGGAAGAGAAAAGATAGAATTTGTAGAGCAAGATAATGATTGACAGATGACTTAAATGATTGCAAATTAAATGAATCAGAGAAGCAAGTTGAAGGAAGCGAATTCCAAAGAACTGATGTTCAAAGAAAAAAACTAGAGGAATAAGAATTTTTGGAGCAGTTAGGAACAGTCACAGAAAAAGGATGAGACTTGATTGAATGGCAAGTGACACGAGAATGAATTTTAGTAGATGGAACAAGGGATGCTAGCTCTTTAGAGCAGTGCCCATTATAGTATTTGTAGAAAAGAGAAAGAGAAGCAACATAATGACGATGTGACAGTGGTTGGAGATTGGCTGCAAGAGCAGATCCAACTATGTTTACAATGCGTTTTTGCACCTTATCTAAAAAAGAAAGAGCATCATTAGAAGATCCGCCCCAGATATGGAAACAGTATTCCATACAGGGACGGATTTGAGATTTATAGAGATAGAGAAGAGAATCTGGAGTAAGGAAGTGTCTAGCTCGATAAAGAGATGCAGCCTTAGCAGATGCTAATTTTGCAATGGATTTGATATACCATTTAAAAGAAAGATCAGAAGTAAAAGTTAATCCTAGAAGATGAAGGGTAGATGACTCATCTAGTACATTATCATTCATAAATATAGGAAGATCTAAACTATTGTGATAACGATTGGCCAAAAAAAAATTGAGTTTTACCTGAAATAAAGTTCACCAGTCATTGTGAGCCCCATGCTGTAGCAGAAGTGAGATTCTTTTCAAGCTCAGATACCTCCTCCAAGCAATCAGAGAGTGTAGGCTACTTTTTATGACAAGAATAAATGGTAGTGTCATCAGCGAACAATGCCACCTTAGATGTGAGAATATCTGGAAGATCGTTAATGTAAATTAAAAAGAGTATAGGGCCAAGGATTAAACCTTAAGGAACCCCTGAAGTTACAGGATATGAAGAAAAGGGTTGAAGTTACAGGATATGAAGAAGAGTGTATATATATATATATATATATATATATATATATATATATATATATATATATATATATATATATATATATATATATATATATATATATATATATATATATATATATATATATATATATATACATATACATATATATGTTTACATTTATAACTAACTACATCTTTTGAAAGAGAATTTTTAAATGTTCTTTTTTTCTTGCTGAATTGACTAGGTACCTATTTTGAGTATTGCGGAGTATTTATAAATTAATATATAAAGAAAGAAGGTCTCGATAGTTAAAATAACTTTCAAGATAGTTATTACAAGAAAAAATATTACTTACATTAATCTTTGTAAAACTTTAAAATTTATCATTGACTTCATATATTTTTTTAAACTTTTTTTTGGGAAAAGCAAAATTTTGAATCACAGACTTTCAAATTTTGGAGGAGCTGAATGAATTAAAGAAGTTGTTACTAATACAAATTCATTAGGCATATTACATAAAATAAACTATATAACATTACCATTACATAAAATGAACTATAGCCAAAACCATTGTTTTATTTTTTTAAAACAGAAGGCAAAAATAAAAATGAACTTTATGGTTAAATACATTTAATCAAATAAAAATTTCTTTAATTTAAAACAGAATTAAATACAAAAACTACAAACACATCAATTCTAGATTCCTAAATGCATATTTAAATAAATTCAATATGAGTTTTTGAAATACAAAACAAAAATGTAACATAATATTACCAAATCTAAACATGTATTTGACCAAAACATATATATGGCATTTGATGTAGTTGACGCTCCTAAAAATAAAATCCTAATTAATAAAATTTATGGAAAAGTAAAAAATATTCTTAAAAGTGTTATTTTCTTAGTATTAGCAATTTTTTTTTTTTTTTTAACTTTTCTGTTTAACTTTAAATTGTATCTAATTGATGTTTGACACTATCTATTTCTAAATTTTAACAAATACTACAAATTCTACTAATTTTAACTAATAAAAAATAATAACTAATAATTCTAAATATTAACTAATTCTACTAATTCTAAATTTTAACAAAACTCATTTTTATTTTATTTATGGACATATATTTTGTATTTTTAGCAAAAACAAAATCAGGGATCACATTGTTAAAAATGACGCTTAAAGTAAGGATTTAAGGAGACATTTTTCTATTATTTAAAGAAATTTGGTCACAAAAAATAATTTTTTAAAAGAAAAAATAAGCAAAATTAAGGAGAAAATAACTACATTGAAAACAGAATCTTATTTTTTTTAATAAATTTTAAATAAAAACAGAAAAATTATTATAAATTAACATATTACTTATATATATATATATATATATATATATATATATATATATATATATATATATATATATATATATATATATATATATATATATATATATATATATATATATATATATATATATATATATATATATATATATATATATATATATACAACCCTCGGAATTAGGGTTGGCATGCAGCAATGCCAACCTAAAAGTGTTTGAGGTCGACCTTGTTTCTATGTTTAATTGTGAATCAAATTTTTCTGCTTCTTTGATTGATGTTGACAAGTTATTGCTTTTTTTTCTAATTTCAAGGGTTGTGTATATATATATATATATATATATATATATATATATATATATATATATATATATATATATATATATGTATATATATACATGTATATATTTATATATATATGTATATATGCAGGGCTTAATTTAACAGTCGGGTATCGGACATTGTCCGGCTAAAACCTCAGATTGTCTGATCAATTTACAAAGTCATCAGACATTTTGTCCGACAAGATTTTTAATTCTTTAAAATAAAATTTTATTCGTTCATTTGAAATTGACAAATTTAAACTTAATGTAAACTATTAGACAAACTTATAAAATATGTTGATAATGGAGGCATTCATTCCCAAAAAAAGCGCTGTTATTATTTGTAGTTTTAATGACTGTTCTTTAACAGTTTTGTTGTTATATTATTAAATTTAAAATTATTGCTTATTTAAAACGATCTCAAAAGTCAAAGTATGTTATACGATGGAATATTTAAAAAAAAAAAAAATTAAGAAAATATACATTTAAATATTAACGTTATAATCATCCAAATCATTCTACTTTAGCTTGAGCAGTTTCTTGGTGGCATCCTGGTCCTACTCGAGTTTTCCGATTCTTTATTTATTATTTGTTATTTAAACTATATTTTTATTTGTATTTTTTTTCTTATTATTTATTATCTATTATATATATATATATATATATATATATATATATATATATATATATATATATATATATATATATATATATATATATATATATATATATATATATATATATATATATATATATATATATATATATATATATATATATATATATAAGATTAAAAAGTGCCTTTTTGAAAAGTAGATAAATAATAACTTGTAGAACTCATAAAATTTTCTTCGTTGAATTGATCGAACTTTAATGACATACAGCGCGTGGAATTTTTAAATTAAATAATAGCCCGTAAATATTATATTGCGTTTGATTTAACCGCCTTTAAATATGTAAAAGCGAAGTTTAAATTTTTTATATAAAGTTTAAAAATAATATGTTTATCTTAATATTTAATATATTAAAGACGTTATTATACTATATTACTATAACAAACTTGT